AATAATAACAGAACTACAGCTGAGAGGATACACTGGGCGTCGCTCTGCAGGATGGTGTCGTCTGGTTGGTTGGGATGCTGCATGGCAATGGCTTGTGGAAACTCTCCCAGAATTCTTTGCTGGAAATCCTCGAGGCGTTCGTAATCGAAACCACGACAGACAAACTCCTTATTCTGCAGAGGACAGATAAAGAGGTTACACGAAGCCTGGGCAGATGGCGCCGTAGGCCGTCCACCAAGAGCGTATCTGCCCCGGAGGAGGGTAACAGTGACATTTACCCTGAGGAAGAAGGGAAACTTCCTGCCGTAAAAACCCATTCGGAAAAATTCTGGTTCGATCCTCTGCTGTTCAATGATGTTGTCGTAGTAGGCCGCCTCCATTTTCTGTCTCACACACACACACACACACACACACACACGTTCATTGGTTTAATCACAGGCTTCGTTCTCCTCCTGGTGAAGGTGTGTGTGTGTGTGTGTGTGTGTGTGTGGTTCCACAGTAGAACCCACTCACTCTGATCCAGCTGAGGCTCTGATAATCGTACAGGGTCTCGTACTGAAGAGCCAGCTCCCGGCACAGAGAGATCCCGTACTCCCAGCACTGCAGGAACCACACGGAACCACACGGAACCACACGGAACCACACGGAACAAACAGAACAGACGGAACCACACGGAACAGACAGAACAGACGGAACCACACGGAACAGACAGAACAGACGGAACGTCACTGGAGGAAATCACTGATTCACTCAATCATCACAGCTTCAACACAGAACAAGAACAACTGGGGAGAAAAAGGTTCTCCAAGGTTCTCCAAGGTTCTCCAAGGACACGGAGGGAAATCTGAAACGACTTCTTCATAGAGGGAGGGTGAGAGGGTGAGGGGGTGAGAGGGTGAGGGGTGAGAGGGTGAGGGGTGAGAGGGTGAGAGGGTGAGTGGGAGAGAGGGTGAGAGGGTGAGAGGGTGAGAGGGTGAGAGGATGAGAGGGTGAGTGGGGGAGATTGAGTAGTGGCCCAAAAAAAGTTCTTTTACTACAGGGTCAATCTCCTAAATGTTTTATGTGATTTGTTGTAGTGATGCCTTATTTATATATATATATATTTGTTTTTGTGTGCAGCAACGTCACCTGATGTCGTGCATCAAGAGTTACGCAACTCTGACTTCCAGTAAAGCTTTGTTGTGGTGCACACTGCACTGGGAAAAACGACAGTAGATGTGGAGCAGGTCATGTAGTGTTGACTTTTAAACACTCCTTTTCCTTCTGTTTTTAACGAGCTGTTAACAGGGACAAACCTGACCTCAGGACTGTGCACTTAAATTTACAGAAATGCATGTAAAGTTATATATTATGTTTTTAAGTAAAGGCCTGGAAAAATGCAAACGGCCTCTCACAGTGTCAGTCAGCCTTTCAGCAGTCATCAGGGCGGGGCCTGGTTACCAGCAGGTAGAGCAGTTGTTCCGCTTCCTTCTCCACATCCTTTAACGGTACAGGTGACAGTCTTTCCTAAGATCCTGGAGGGTGTGTGCGTGTGTGTGTGTGATAGAGAGAGAGCGAGAGGGGGGGGGGGGGGGGGGGGGGGGGGGGTGAGGGGGGGAAGGGGTGAGGGGGTGAGAGGGTGAGGGGCCGGTGCCGACTGGGTCCACTTGCCTTGCCCTTGTTGAAGTAGTGCAGAATCTTGCGGCTCAGGTTCTCCTTGCGCTGCCACTCGCTCTGACAGGGATAGTGGAGGAAGTCCCTGAGGGGCCGGTCCTCCCACTGCAGCAGCTCCCAGTACAGCAGCAGGGTGAAGGCTGCCTCTGTGACAGGGACCGGAGGTCAAAGGTTAACGGGTCCTGACCAGACCAAAGTGGTCACACAAATGTTCTGGTCCGGCACATCGTCCACCGTGATGTTGTAAAGGAACAGCGCCACCTACCGAGCTACATACCAGACGCCTGTACCTAACCAACTAACTAAGCACCGGTGACTCCAGGGTAGGTGGCGCCGGTGAGCCGTGTTACCTGTGAAGTCCTCAGCCTGGAGGTGGAGGTCACACAGCTTGTGGATGTAGCGGATGTACATGTCCTCCTTGTTCACCTCGGACTTGTAGAAGTTCTGGAACAGGGGAGGAGAGTCACGGTCAGGAGGTTCTCATGGTGGAACCGTCAGTTCCAGACACCAGAACCACCTCCTACCATTAGGTTGACAGAACCGCCCACTTTCTTGTTCTCCAGTTCATCTCCTTTCATGCAGTCCCTGAAAAAACACTTCTGTCAGTAAAGTTCAGACCAGAGTCCGACGACCCTGCAGCTGGTAATGACTCAAACCAGTTCAGACCAGTTTCATCATCAAAACCTCTGACCTCTGACCTCTGACCCAGTTTTTATTCAACCCTCAAAACTGAAACATTCCCAAATCTGATCATATTTTTAACCTGTTCAGAAGAAGCTCAAACACGGGTTCTGACCCAGAACCATCTGAGGTTCTGACCCTGAACCATGTGAGGTTCTGACCCAGAACCATCTGAGGATCTGACCCAGAACCACCTGAGATTCTGACCCAGAACCATGCGAGGATCTGACCCAGAACCATGTGAGGTTCTGACCCAGAACCATCTGAGGATCTGACCCAGAACCATGTGAGGTTCTGACCCAGAACCATGTGAGGTTCTTTAATTCACTGCAGTACCAGTACCATGGGTCGGGGGTTAGACTCACCTGTAGTCCAGTAACTGTTCCACCAGTCTGGTGACCGACGTGATGAAGGAGATCCCCGTTTCTCTCCAGGTCTCCTGCTCTATCTTCTCCAACAAACTGAACGGCAGAGAAACACCAGAGTCAACAGACGGTAACTGGACCGACTGACTGGTCAGTATGAGAACCGTGTGCTTAAAGTACAACAACAACAACACTGGTCTGGTCTGGACTGCTGTGACCTCTCACCTTGGGTAAGGACCAAAGAGCAGGGTCCTGGAGACAGAGGGTGAGAACAGACGGGTGAGTCAACAGACAGTCACAGTCACAGTCACAGACACAGACACAGTCACAGACAGACGCTCACAGCAGACTGAAGAGCTCCCTGTGATTGTCGTCCCCTCTGCCGTCCGACACCATGCTGTCCAGCTTGTCCATCAGCTCCGCCTCCACCTGCGCACACACGTCCACACATTTACACATCAAGACAGACCACCTGGGCCTGGGGGGGGGGTCTGTGGTGGTGGTGGTGTTCCCCCCCCTCCTCCCCCCCCAGCTCAGTGTCACCTGCAGGTCAACAGTCACCTGTTTGAAGTTGCCGTTTTTCCTCTGCTCCCAGTCCATCATGTCGTGGAAAATTGGAATCATGATGTTCCGGACCTCGGCCTGAGGAACCAGGGTGACTCCCAAGAAGGGTCCCATCATCCCTGGGATGAAGTGGGGCTTGTTGTCACCTGGTTCACAGACAGGTTCACAGACAGGTTCACTGGTTAGTCTTGGTGTTGAACACAGAGGACGTGTGTGGACATTATGGGGGGGGTGGGGGTGGGGGGGGGTACAAACCCAGTTTCTGCCACATGCTGAACAGCTCGTAGGCCATCATCTCCCTCATGTCTCCGTGTCTGCACAGTCAACACACAACGCTGATAACAGTGACCTCTAGGTGGTGCTAGCTACAGATCTGAGTGTCCTGTCCCACGTGTCTCATGTACAAGGTTTGAATCAGTCTCTTACTTGTCCAGAACTTTCTTTCGTTTGGCAGGTCCCAGCGTCTCCAGCTGCAGACTGGGCTGGTTGATGTACAGCACAGTCAGACTGAAGAAGGAGTTCCACACCTGAAACACAAGTGCAGACAAACCACAGACCATGTGACATGTGGGGGTGCGGTCAGTCACCCCCCCCCCCCCCCCCCCCGGCTCCTCTGTCCCTGCTGCTGGAACACACACCTTGAAATCAAAGTCGGCTTCTGAGAAGTTCTTGTGCAGCGCTGGAGACAGAAACTGTGTTGTCACAACGATGATGCTGCAGAACAGACAGAACAGACAGAACAGACAGAACACCTGTCAGTCCAGAGAACATTGAGCAGCCAAGGAAAAGTGACTCGTAAGCTTTAAATGTTTTATATCTATATATTTTGTGTCTGTGTATCTTCATATCCAGTGTGTTTCATAGATTTATATCTTTGACCTGGGAACCTCAGACTCACTGGCTGGTCAGGAGCCTCATGACGCTCCAGTCCCGGGGGAAGATGGTCAACTTCATCAGGTTTCGAAACACACAGAAGATCTTCAACAGGAACTCCTGTGACGACAGGATGTGATGAAGACTGACCGTCCAGACTGACCGTCCAGCCTCACCCCGCGGGGCGCCCCCCCTCTCCCCCCCCCCCCGCAGCTCATGCCAACC